TTTTCCCCCCCGCCCCCCCCTCGCAAACCCTCTTTCCTTCCTATACCTCTTGCATGATGGGAGACTGCCTCCTGTTCAAAAAAAAAAAAAAAAGCCAAGGGCCAGCATCAAAACAAAAACTAAAGATCGTCTCATTGCAGCAATCAGCTGACCTGTCTTCCCTCATCACACACGGCGGGCCTTATGGGCGTCCTTCATCTCCGACACGATGGAAGCCCAGCCCCTGTCCATTACCTGGCAGTAGTCCCGCGACAGCCACTAACTTAGCTCGAAAACCACAAGTGAGCACCCCTTTCTACACCCGCAGTCTATGTTCACTCTTAAAATTAAAAAAAAAAAAAAAAAAAAAGAGAAGCAAAAACACAAAGCAGAAATGCATTCAACCCTTGTGAGGTTGCTTTAAAAAAAAAAAAAGTGCACTTTAAAAAAAAATTAAAAAAATGCATTCAACCTACCACCGGCGACAGGACCGCGCTGGCTAACGACTGTTAACCTGTGCAGCTACCGGAGCTGTTAAAAGAGTTAGGGTTACGCTAGCTGACGCTTCGTCGTCAAGGTTTCCCTTCCCCGCCACACATATTGTGATGCTCCACACACCTGTACCCTTGGGGGTACCAATCATGCACCTGGGGCCAACTTTCCTCGGGCCCGGATTCTTTGTCCGGGATCGAAGATGAGAAAAGGATCGATGGCCAGAACAGAAACACACACACTCTGCGAAAGTCGCTCCTTCGGCTATGGCTGATGATAAGATAGTACACAATCAACAATCAACAGGTCGAAAGCTCAAGTCTTGTCAATGGCACTGCTCCATCATCCATGAGCTTACATCTCGTCTAGGCCTCGCACTCACCCAGATTGGAAGATATTGGCCGTTGATGTCGGTAAACCGAGGAGAGGAGAACAACACAGTCTGGATCTCGATGTCACATTTCCTGAGAGCAGCAATTGCATCTTTCCTCCAGGTCGCGTTTTTCACATGCGCGACTTTGCCCTGCCCGGCCCCACAATACCAGACCATCACAAGCACAGGCCTACCCTGGCAGGCTGGCACCGCAAGCCTTTTCAATCTGGTAGGGCCATGGCTTAAACTGCTAGTACACCGCCCCAGCCTCGCAGAAATTTTTTGTCCCCACAAGCAAAACTCGGAGGCACCGTGCGGCCCGGGGCGCCATTGGGGAACAAACCGTCGACCTCCGAAGTGGTGCGGGTTTCATACTGACACCCGCGGGCCTATGTGTGGTGTACGGGTGCTTTAACCGGCGCATTCTTGTGGGTAGCTAAGTAGGGCTCTCTGCTAGTTCAATCCCTTTTTTCTGGTAAGGGGTATAGAATCTATAAATCAATTCTTTTTTTCTTCTGGCCCTCTGGTATTTTAACCAACAGCAACAATTCAACAGTAGAGTACTTGAAAAAAAAAAAAAAAAAAAAAAAAAAATTGTAACAGTTCT